ATAAAACTTTATTTACAAAAGCAGTTGATGGACCAAATTTGACTTTTATATTTTTTTAAAGTACCTGTCCTTTATAATCTAATCTATAGTTATTAAAACCTAAAGCCATACTGTGGGTTCTGAGTCATAGCAGAACTCCATTGGCTTTCTCAGGTTATAAATATTAATCTGAGATTACCTAACTTTCTCCTTCAGAGAAACTGATGGGTTTGAACTGTAATGCATAACAACAACACATAACATATTATTCCACAAAAGCCCTTTAAAGTAAACTCGGGAAAAGTATTAGAGAACCATCACGCTATAATATAGAAAGCAGCTCCTTGTGTAAATGGTTCAAACATGGCTGTTCACAACCCCTATAGAAGAAAATACATACATAAAATGCAAAACGGTGTATAGACTGAGAGGCCACAGGACACCAGAGGGTGAACGTGGCTAAATGAAAATACAAATATATAGAATAAGCCTTTTAACATTAGAGATTAGCTCTCACAATTAAGAAGTTAGAATGTAAAATAGATTGGTTCCTTTGCTTCTTGTGTTTCTATTTTGTCTTTTTATCCATTCATTGTTGCATGTTTTCCTCTCTCCTCCCTCCTTTCACCCTCCCTTATGCTACTTCACGATTTACCTCTTGTTCTAGAGAGTTATCATGCATATAATGCCTAATCATATATTTTAGAAAGTTCTTCCCTTCATCTGTTCCAACACAGCATTTATTAACTACCCATTCTTTTCCTATTCTCCCCCCAAACCCCCATGTCATTCCTATTTTATAATAGCAATTTTGTGAAGTATTTGCCCATTTGCAACTGAGATATGTAAGTCAGCACAATGTCTTTTAGGCTAATCCATGTTGTGTGATGGTTTATAAGCTCTTTGTCAGTGATTGGTAATATAAAATTGTGTGAATGAATCACAGGTTTTTTAGCCATTCATTTGTTGATGAGCACTTGGCTTTCCCCCACTTCTCTTTGCCATTGTGACTAATGTAGCAATAAACATGTGTGTGCATACATCTGTCTGTCTGACTTGCAGCTCTGGTTTCTTCTCCAGTAGTGGAATTGCTAGGTCAAAGAATCTTTCTCATAAATTTGGAAAAAGAAATACCTTTCCTTCTTTTGACTGTTGATTTTGGGGTGTTTTTTTTTATGTTTAGAGGGGAAGTGTGAATGAGTGGCTGGAGCTTTTTGTTTATTTGCATCTAGATATTTTGAGTTCTTGAAAAATATACTTTATTTTACCTGCATTGAAAATATTTTTTTCTTTCCTATTCTTTCTCAAGTTATAGTCTTCAGTTATTTGATCCAATGTGACTGAAATAGTTCACTCAGCATAATATTTTCCAGTATTTTACAAGTTCATTGTTTTTCAATGTTCTGTTGTATGAATATTCTGTTGTATGAAAGTACTGTTGTTTCTTTATCCATTCAGTTGTTGTTAGGCACTTGGACTGCTTCCATCTCTTTATTAATATGAATAATGGTGTGATAAACATAGGTATGAATGTATCTTTATGTCACAGCTCTTTGGGGGATATTCCCATTATTGGGGGAGATGATTCAAATGGTATTTCCATTTCCACCTTTTTGAGGAAGCACCAGACTGCTCTTCATAGTGATTGTACCATTTTACATTCCCACCAGCAGTGAATGAGGGTTACTGTTTCTCTGCATGTTCATCACCATTTGGAGCTTGCTGTCCTGTTGAACTTTACTATTGTTGCTGGAGTGAGGTGATTATCTCTTAAGCTCAGTATTGTAATAATAAGACCAAGCTGGGGAGGCAGTGGGAAAAGAAGGGATATATAGATAAATAATGAACACTGCACTTGAATAGGTCAAAGGAACGACAATCTATAAAAAGAAAGGGCGATTTGAAACTATATATATGTATGACAATAGCTTGGAACAGGACAAGCATTACAAAGTAATTGGGGGGATGGGAAAAGGGGGAAATGTGAATGAATGAATAAAAACTATTCTCTTTGTAAACCTTCATTAAAAAGGAAAAAAAAGATATTCTTTGCTGAGTACCCTAGAGTTGGAAGTAACCCATACCTGACCATATGGTGGTTTCAGAGGCAGTTAATCATGTGGGAGGAGATTGCTCATCCTATGGGGGGAAATACAAAGAGAGATACATTAGTGATTTTGTGGATATTTCTTCTCACTTTTCTGTTGTAAACGTAGGCATAATTATCCAGTAGGAAGTTGCCATCAATAGTTGAACCATGTTGTTGTGGACTGTGTAATCAGAACTGATTAATTTTTTTCATTCTTTTGTAATATTTTCTACTAGTTTATTTACAAAACTCAAATACATTATTTTTAAGAACAAATTCTTTCCATTTCCCTCACCCCACCATCATCAAATTGTACAACCCCATGATTAATCTCCCCTCTCCCCCTACACATCCTCATCCCTCTGCTTCCACCCTTTCCCACCCCTCTTGGATCCTTATACTCTTTCTACAACAATGATTTTATACACTATTTATTCTTATGGGACTGAGTTAGTTCACTCAGCATAATGCTCTCCAGTCCCTCCCATGTTAGGTAATAATTTGCAAAATCATTGCTCCTGCGTGCTGCATACTATTGCATTTTGTGAATGTACCCTAATTTCTCAATCCATTTGTTTGTGGTTGGACATTTTGGTTATTGCTATGCTCTTGCAATGGTGAATAATGCTGTTATGAACATTGGTGTACACAATGTCAAATTACAATTGGTTGCCTGATCTAATGTGTGTGTGGTTTTTCTTTGTTTTTGTTAACAATCTCAATTTCTTGTCCCTCTGTTATGATTCTGTCAGTTGGCCCAGGGGTAGCAATCTTTGTCTTCTTGATGTTGAGATGCAATCCATATTGAAGATGTTGAGATGCAATCCATATTTCTACAGTCTTTGACCTTCTGTAGAAAACATTTTTAGTATCTTCAGGTTAGAGAGTAAGGTTGTGTCATCTGCACAATGCACGTTGTTGATGAGTCTTCTTCCAATACTGATATCACATTTTTCTTCATAAAAATGATCTGTCCCTCATACAGATTGAAAGATATGGAGAAAGGATGTGTTCCTGAAGCACTCCTTTTTGGATTTTGAATCATACCATGTTCATATGATAGCTTCCTGGTCTCAGTATAGGTATCAAAGAAGTACAATCAAGTAAACTGGCATCCCATAATTCTCAATGTTAGCTACACTTTGTTATGATTCGCACAGTAAAATGTTCAGTCTATGTAAAATATAGTTAGATATTTTTCTGATACTCTCTTCTTTCAGCCAAGATCATCTGACACTGGCAATGTCAGTGCCAATGACATTCAAAAGCTTATAGAATTGCTTATTTATTTGGATCCCCTAATATAACTTTTTTTTTTTGTATTTAGAAATTAAATTGTGTCTCCAAATCAATGAATATATATTGAATCATTGGAGAAGTCTGTATAAGTGTACACATAGATATATGGGTAGAAAAAGATATTTATCATAACATCTGTTATGAAATTCATAATGTTTTCCAGATCAATAGATGCTTAGAATCAAGGAAATATGCTAGTGTTTTTCCTCGTACATTTGTCTTCATATTTCCCCTGGAAACCACTTCTAGAGGCTAAAGAGTTCTATTTCAGGAAAACAAATCTGTTCTTGACACTACTTTATATAATAATGTGGAGCCCCTCTAAATTAAATATGGTTTCAAAGTCCATACTCTTTGGCATGGCATATCAAGGTCCTTGATATCTGAAGTATTTTATATTCTGGCTCAAAGAACTGGACTCTGGCCTTATTCTCCACCACTCTTTGCTCTCTTATGTGGACTGCCTCATTTCTGACCATGATCTATTGTTTTAATACAAATATTGCAAAATCTCTGAGGAAAATTTAATAAATTTAGATTGGTGTTGAGCTGAAAAATAGCTAAAACAGCGTTTTCTTAAAGCTTAATAATTTAAGACAGCAATGGATCACTGTTTTGCTGAAAAGGTTTGACTTTTTATATTAGAGGGAATTGCTGAAGAAGCTTATAGAAAGAACATCATTATTTGGAGCCTTTTCTGTTTGAGATGATTTATAATTACCCATGAGAGAAACAAGAGGTTGTGGCCACTTCTAGGAGTTTTTGGTGTGATTAATGTCTATATCTCCCTGAGGCCAAGCATCCAGATGGGCATAATGAGAGAAAGTTACTTATCGACATGCTCTGTCTATAGATTCCTAAGACTTGGACCCGTGACATTGGATGCATAAAATGACTTAAATAAACTGTACACCTCCCTGATATTTTCCATTTTACATATCTGTATGTTGGTATGTTGTTGTTGATTGCCGCTAAGTCAAGCATGACTTATTGCAACCCTGTGAACAAAAGGCCTGAAGCCTTTTGATAACTATCATTGTTTCTCCAAGTTCATAGTTTCCAGAGACATGTGATTTAAGATGTAGATGCCACATTTGCTTCCAAACTTGGATCAGTCTGGGAGCTCCATCAAATAATGTCCACAATTGGTAGCCCTTATGGTGTTTGGCATACCTATGGCACAGTTGTTCCATTATGGCATTTGAGACCCCAATGGCACAAGGTTCAGTGTCACAAGCAAACCCAGATTACTTCAGCACAGCAAATTGACCAGAGTATCCCTCAAGTAACCTTGGTTGCTCCTTGCTTAAAATGTGTGGTTGTTTACTAATAAAAGTTCAGACATTTAAACCCAGTAGCAGCTCCACAGCAGCTAGGTGTGGCTATCTGCTTTGGGAAGTAAATGCTTTGGGGATGCTTTCATCAAACAACAGTATAGAGCAAACTGCAATTATTATATTAAATAGACAAAATATGAGTTCAATTGAAAATCCTTTGAGTTTTCTGAGATGAAATAATGAGCAAATAATGTAAAATGAATTTTCTTTATGCTTTTTGAACTGTCTTAATCCCGTTTTAAAAAATAGCCTAGTTACTAAATGTGTATTTATACGGCTCTATGTTTTAAATTTAGGTATGTGTCTTGTGCCCTGGGCTGTCCTTATGAAGGAAACATCACACCGAAAAAAGTGACAGAAGTAAGATACATTTCTGGTCTTTATGGTTCATGGTAAAATTGTGTTTATATTTTTTTTTTAAGTAAACTAATTTCCTTACCATTTATTGCTTCAATTTTGTAAAGACTAAAGCAAGTCACGCAAATACAACTATCTTTCAAGATAAGTGATAACTTAATAATTTGATATTTAAGTGCTCATTATTGACTGCTAAGGAGCCCTCGAAACCTGTGGTATAATCAGATAGTATTGGACGTCTAACTAAAAATGCCAATGGCTCAAATTCATCAGTTACTCCATAAGAGAAAGAGACAGTCTTTTCCAATAAATGTTTATAGCCTTAAAGACCCATTAGGAGATTAGTATGAATGGAAATCAGATCAATGAGAATAGATTTTAAAATTTATTTTGAGTTTCTATTTTTTATTAATTACTGCATAAATTGAGCAACAATTTAGTCTTATTTGGATGCTCAAAAGCAAATAAGACTTCAATAATAGTGTTGCTCATGTTCTTTGTTTATGGCTTCTTTTTTTCATGTTTAGAAAATTTATTTTTAATTTATTTTAATGAAATTTTACAGAGACTTTAGATTTCTATTCATTCACAGTTGCACTTTTCTTCCTGTCCCCTCTCCCCCCGTCCCAGTTTGCTTGCCTCTTTGAAAAGTAAAAAAAAAAAATTAAAAAAAAGACAATTTCATTGTTATAAATTCCCCGCCCCCATCCACTCCACTGTGCAGCTTTTATTCTGGACTTTTGTCATGACAATAGTACCTGCATTGAAACAGATGAGGAAGAGAACTGTTTTGGAGGAATATATGTTTTTGGCTTCTTAACGTGGATAGAACATAGTAAGTTACTGAGACAGTGTGTATAGCTAAATTTTACTTTTGTTGCTCACATAACGCATTTTTATTTTTGTCATGCAAGCTGCTACACTTTTACGATTACACTCTACTTCACTAGTTCTGTTCCTTTGGGATCCAATGGTTCATTCTCTTGTCTTTCTACTTTTCTTGAGAAATTTTACAGCAACAGATTAAAATTGCTAATAAACTGCTTATAGAAATTCCACTTTTGCCTTCCTTTTCTCTAGTGTCCTAATGGTAAGGACTTATGCTGCAGACTCAAAGACATATGGTTCAAATTCACTACCTACTCCATGACAGGAAGATGGACTATATCCTCCTGTGAGATTTGTAAACTCGGAAAACCCATTGGATGATCAACTATGATTTGGTTCTGACTCAATGGGACATAACAATATTTCTTGGTGTTTGGTTAGTTTGTTTTAAATGATGCCAGTGGATAGGAAATTCTCTGTTTTTGAAACTATATTACTGCTGCTTTTGTTGTTGTGTACTGTCAAGTAGGAGCAGATCCATAGATGTCCCTCCAGTAGATTTCCAGACACAGTAATCACATGGGACCAGATTACCCATCTTTCTTCCGCTGAGAAGCTAGTACAATCAAACCTTGTGCCTTTGGTGTTGCAGCTCAGCTTCTTAACAGTAGGTCATATGAAGTCTGATGTACACACAGTGATAGGTTGTTAGAGAAGAGCAACACTGTCAGTCTAGAGACTAAGGTGTTCCTGATCCAGTCTCCACATTACTTTCTGTGCATCAAAGAGCTGGACAATAACTAAGGATGATAGAAGAAGGCATTCTTTTTGAGTTGTGGTGCTGGAGAAGAGCATTGACCATATCATGGACTGCCAGGAGAATAAACATGTCTGTTTTGAAGAGAGTGAAACCAAGCTTCTCCATGGAGGCAAGGATTTTGAAACTCTGTCTCACATACTTTGGGCAGGTGGCCTGGAGGGACCAGCTCTTGGAGAAGGACATCATGCTTGGAAAGATGGAAGGACAGGGTAGGCAAGGAAGATCCAGAGTGAGATGGATTGACTCAGTGACTGGAGAAATGGGATTAGGCCTGTCGGAGATGTTGAAATTGACTCAGAATAGGACAGAGTTCAGAGTTAATATACATAGTGTCTCTATGAGTTTCAGGTAACTTGATAGCACATAACAACAACAAGAACTAATAGATACTCAGGATACCAAAACACTGCAAATGGCATTATTAACCAATTACATTTTAGACAGGATAAGCTTTCTATTTTCCTTGAGTCATTCTTCTTCTGGAAATTTCATTGCTGAATTTTTGAATGAGAGATAGCCCAAGACTCTTACCCATTGGGGCAGATATTCTGTGGAATAATGAAGCTTAACTTTTATAGCCCTTCCTTTATTTGAAATCCTTCCAAGATTCTGCCATTAATATCTGCTCTCAATTACATATTCTGTCTTAAAAAAAAATCACAAACACCGCCCCCCCCCCAACTTGTAAAATAATGTCACTTCAGGCCGCACAGAGGCTGGAGCCCTCTTTTCCTATTCAACAGACTCTGTTTTTTCTCGTGCATTTGCCATCCCTAGATACTTGACACACAGCCTCGGACTCTGCATTCCTCCATCAGGATGTATGGATGAGGTGCTGCTGAAGAAAGTCATATGGCCAGCAGATTGTAAACATTACAATTCACGATCATCGTCGCCTTCTGTGTTATTCTACTACATTGCATGGTCAGCATCCACTCCTCTTTTCTGAAATGACTATTTTAAACTTCATTCATTCTGTTCGAGTATCTTTGCCTTCTTCTCATTTTCTCTCCTGTTCACGCTAACAAAGTCAGTTTTCTGACACGTGTACATATTTACTTCTCTTCCCTGTAAAAATAATTCTTTAATCCAACTTCCCATTATTTATCTCCATCCTTCTGCTCCTAAACTTCATAAAAATACTAGATGTTGTTGTTGCGTACTATCAAAGTGAAACCCATAGTTGACCCTCCCGTGGGTTTTCAGAGGCAGTTAATTGCATGGAAAGAGATTGCCTATCTTTCTTCCATGAACAGCTGGTGGAATCAAACCACATATCTATGGGATTGCAGTGCAGGTTCTTACCACTAGGCAACCAACGATCCCTGAAAGGACTAGATATAGAAACATATTCCATTTTCTCCTTAACCACCAGCTCCCCCTCATACTCCAAGATGATTTCTTAGCCATTCTCTCCACTGAAATCTGTCTTTATAATATTCACTACTTGTGTCACATAATGGCAGAACATGTTTGAACTCATTTTATTTGAACTCCTGACAGCAGTTGGACTGATGATGATTTCTTCTATTCTTGTACTCTTGTACCCAACATTTGTATTTTCTTGACACTGTGTTTATAATTTTATCCCAATATGTTAAATTTTTGCATATCATTCTTCATAGAAGGTTCAATTTATTCTTTTTGGCCTTTAAAGAATACTAGCATTTAATATGCAAAATGAGAATTATACTTTATCCAAGTTTCAAAAACATCCAAGTCTCCCTTCTTGGAGTATGTAATCTTTTCTTTTTTTATTTTTTTTTTTAGCTTTTAAAAATTTTTATTTTGTTGAAGATTTGCAAATAAATTTGTTTCATTCATTTATTCATGTACCTTGTCCTCGGTCCTTGCTCCTCTAATTCTCTTTGCAATGCTTGTCTTGTTCAAGTTTATTAATTATCATACAGAGAATTTCTAATCATCAATTAAAGAATACCAGCATTTAATATGCAAAATGAGAATTATACTTTATTCAAGTTTCAAAAACATCCAAGTCTCCCTTCTTGGAGTACGTAATCTTTTCTGAAATAGATATCTGATCATATTATCACTACCTCATGTTATAGTATTATCACTACTTGATGTTATAGGGAGCTTTGATGGCATCATGATAAGAAATTGTGTTGCCAACTCAAAGAACCTGGTTCAAATCCAACAGCTGCAAGGGAAAGATGGTCAGTCTCCTCCCTTGCAATTTGCTGCTTCTGAAAATCCACTGGAGGATCAGGTCTGAGTTGGTTCTGACCTGCTGGTACTTAGCAACAATAACAACTGACATTATACCATGATTTCTAATTACTGTTTTGATAACATCTTTAACTCTAATAATAAACTTGGATTAAAAGATTCACAATTCTCTGTCCAATGCTTGCCATCTCTCCATCCTTATTTCAGACTTTACTTTGCATTTTTAATATTTATTGCTTTCTTATCACATTTTTTATTTGATGATTTTTAAAAATTCCTGTGTTTTTAAAATGCATTTTATATTTTAGCCGTGTAAAACACCTGTTTTTGTACTGATATTCTTTCACACGTTTCTCACAGTCATCTTCTTTCTCCTCTTTAACAACATATGTTGTTGTTGTTGTGTTCTGTTGAGTTGGAGCTGACCACAGCTGACTCTTCTCCTGTCAAACAACTGGTAGACTCCAAACCACGTGCCTTTGGGACTGAAGAACAGTTTTTTGGCAGCAGGTGACCAGAGCTCAAAAACATATAGCCTGTTTTAAATGAAGTTGTCATTTAGGGCTTTCTTGTGTGATAGACCTGAGGTAGATTCCTGTTGCTATATACTTTCAGAATCTTATCCCTTTCTTTAAAAAGATTATTATTTTATTTTATATTTACCTATTCCTGAATGAGATTGACTAAAGTCGGTCTCTGTTTAATTCTAGGCTTGGTGGCAGTGTGAACAATGCCATTATTTAGTTCCTCATGACATCAGTTGACCTAACCTCATGTTTGGCAGTAAATTAACACTTGTTTTTGTTGTTGTTATGTGCCATTGAGTCGTTTGTGACTCATAGCAACCCTATGTATAAAAGCCCTAAATGTCATTCTATCCTGTGCCAATCTCACTGTCTCAAACACATTTATTCCCACCACTCCACTCACAGAATCGATCCATCTCACCGAGGGTCTTCCTCTCCTGCGCCATCCCTCTACTCTCCCAAACATGATGTCCCTCTCCAAGGACCAGTCCCTCCTTGCAACATGCCCAAAGTATGTCAAATGAAGCTTCAGAATCCTTGACTCCAGGAAACATTCTGGCTTCACCCTCTCCAGGACAAACCTGTTTGTTCCCCCAGCAGTCCATGGTATATTCAACACTCTTCTCCAGCACCACAAAAGAAACAAAAGAAGAATGAATATGTGACTGATGTTGTTATGTGTTGTTTTATGACAACTCTGAGCCCTGCTCTATCCTGTGCCAACTTTATTGTCTCTAACACACCCACCCCCATTACCCTGGTCTTTTAGTAAATCCATCTTATCAACTGTCTTCCTCTCCTGCGCTGTCCCTCCACCCTCCCAAGCATAATGTCACTCTCCAAGGACTGATTCCTCCTTGTAACATGCCCAAAGTGTGTCAGACAGAGCTTCAGAATCATTCAAGGTGCAGCCTGGTTTCACTCTCTCTAGGATGAACCTGTTTGTTCTTGTAGTAGTCCATGTTATGTCAATACTCTTCTCCAGCACCACAACTCAAAGGCATCAGTTCTCCTTCTATCATCCCTAGTCATTATCCAGCTTTCTGATATTAAGGTAAATATTGTAGAAAGTCATTTTCACCTTGCTCACTTGAAACTCTGAAGGACTTCAAGCATTTACTGCAGAAGGTCAAGGACTGCAGTATTCGATATGTAGTACATCTCAACATAAAGAAAAAGATTCTCACCACTGGACCAGTTGGAAGCACCATGATAGATGGAGGAGAAATTGAGATTGTTAGCAATCTCATCTTGCTTGTATCCACAGTCAACACTTTTAGCACCAGCAGCCAAGAAATAAAAAAGATGAGTTGCTTTCAGAATGTCTCCTGTTAGGACCCTCTTTTGAGGCAAAAGTACAGTGACTCCAGTCTAGAGACTAAGGTGTACCTGATCCAAACCTTAGTCCTCACAATAACTACATGCTATGCATTTGAGACCTGGACAGTGACTAAGAATGACAGAAGAATAATTGATGTCTTTGAGTTGTGCTGGAGAAGAGTATTGAACAAACCATGGACTACCAAGAAAACAAATAAGTATGTCCTGGAGAATAGGACAAATAGGTCAGTCTAGGTTGTTCCTTGGAGGCAAGTATTTTCAAACTCTGTTTTACACAATTGGAGGACATTGCCAGAAGGGACCAATTCTTGGAGAAGGACATCGTACTCCAAAGGGTGGAGTATTGGTACAGGAGAGGAAAGCCCTGCATGAGATGGATGTGTCAGAGATACTGAGATTGGCTCAAGATAGGGCACAGTTCAGAAGTATTGTTCTTAGGGTCACAATGAGTCATAGTTGACTTGACAGCATATAACAACAACAAAATGTCACTTATGCAGCAAGCACATCACTGACATCAGAATTATTTTCATTATTTTTGTATCCTAGAATTAAGGCCTAGCAAATATACTAAAAGAGAATTGCATTATTCATAAATTGCATAGTAAGAACTGAGATTTTAATGTTGTTGTGAATTGACACAGAGTCAGAACTGACTCATAAATAACCCTCCAAGCAGGTTTTCAAAGACTGTAAATTGCAAAGAAACAGATTAACCACCTTTATCCCATGGGGAACTGGTGGATTTGAACCACTTTCATTTAGCGTGGCTGTAGAACTCCTTATGCGTTAGGTCACCAGAGTTAACTCAAGACTTAAATAGATGCCCAGTATACATTATCAGTATAAGAGATGCCAAATATACATTACTAGCTTAAGCAGGGAACAAAATTTAAATGTAGGCCAATCTGATGTCAGATCTCATCTCATTGTCAGCGTATCATGCTTACTTCACATATCACATGATTCTTTGAAATTCATGTTGCTTATTCCACTCGAAAAAACCTTGAAATTTTTCTAGCCTTCACCAATAAGCAGAACTACTGCCTTCACCAGTTAGCAGAAAATTTAGACCAAGAATGACAGACAGTAAGTAGCTTTACCAAGAAATTGCAAAACTACCCAATGAGAAAACTTAAACTAGCATTGATCTCTCTTGATCCCTAACTAATTCCCCAAAATGATGTTTCTGTAGTCATGCTTTTACCAAGGTGAAGTGTGGAGAAACAGAAAGTGTCAGCAGTTAAAATTGTATTTTATGATGTTACTGTTGAACATAAACAGAGATAAGGGTATATATGTGACTCTCTAGTAAACCTAAATATTAGGAAAAGATAGTCATAATTATCTCATTGAATGGTTTATATAATGCTTCGGATTTAGTGTGGAAAGAAAAAAAACAATAACGTATGAGTTTCACACGTGTGGAACTTTTATGTAACTGATCATGGTTGTGTGTTTTACTTTGAGATAGTGTTTCTAGAGGAATGACAGGGCTCAAGTGGTTCATTCCCATTGTTTTACTTTAGCACTCCAAACCTTTCTCAACAGGTGGCTAAGAAGCTGTATGGCATGGGCTGTTATGAGATCTCTCTGGGAGACACAATTGGAGTGGGAACTCCAGGAAGCATGAAAAGAATGCTGGAAAGTGTCATGAAAGAAATCCCGCCAGGTGCTCTTGCTGTTCACTGTCATGATACCTATGGACAAGCCTTAGCAAATATCCTCACCGCCCTTCAGGTACTTTCTTTGTATTCTTTGTGTGTGTGTGTACGTATATGTGTGCCCTGTTTTTTAATATAGCATTGTTGAGTGCTTTAATAAGATAAAGTGTTATAAAATGATATTTAAACAGTGCCTGACATATGATGGGCAATTAGGGAATGTTTGTACCATGCACATATTTGTGAAAGCAACAAGTTATCTTATTACTGGGTTTTTTGATAGGCAAAAAAGAAGTCAATTTGTTCTCTTTTAAATAGTCATATTATCAAAGCTGTGCATGCTTGTTTCATTTTCTTTCAAGTGCAAAACTTAGTTAGACTAAATTATAAGGGTATTTGAAGAAGTGCAAATCACTAAGATAGTATAGGATTTTGTGGTAATAATGTAACTAATATTCCTTTTGGTAATTTGGTACTCTGATGAGAGGATTTGGTGCTGAAATACAGAATCCTGTGTTGAAGATGCTTTCCTGATGTTGGCAAGCTGATATAACCTCTGTTTCTTATAAAGTATATTGCATTAGGTGATCAAAATGAAGTAGATAGTAAAAGCTAAAAAATCTATATATTTGATTTTTTATTTACTCCTAATGGCAATTCAGTTATTTATTATGTATTTACTTAGAGAATACAGAGAGATTACCAACATTTCAAGAGTGAAAATGTTCACATTTCATTGTGAAAATATTGTTCATTTCTTTAACTCAGCCAAAAATAGAGTGATTTGATGTTCTCTGAAAACAAGATTTTGACAACTGAAGATAAGACTGTATGAAAACTTTGTGGTGAGTCTGAAAGTCAATATGTAAAGCTTCATTTTGCATTGCTCAAGTATACAACTGCTTGGCAGAAGTTAAAAAACAAAGCAAAAGTCAAGGCCCATGTGGGCTTATTTTGACTTTGCAACATATGTGCACAAATCCTCTGAAAGCAGGCAAGAAATATATTGAATCAGAAAGAAGAGAAAATACTGTCCTGTGGTCTTTTGAGTGTAGGGATTTTTACAGTGTTGTTTCTCTAAGTATTTTAGTTTCTAATACAACAGAAGAAAAAGTGCAGTGCTTCCAACAGCAGCTCTAATTTGTTAAGTATTTTTGAGCAAGTCCCCCACTCATTTATGTGTTCTTTCTTTTTTTGCATGAAAATTCTTCTATTTGATAAACACTTTGAGGCTTATAATATTTTGTTAACATAGCAATTACATACACAGCACTCTTTTGTCTATTTGCTTAACTGAACAACCTGATGTTGCTGTGATGCTGCACACTGTTCCACAGTCTTGTCAAATACCATAATGTTTACCCACCATGTAGTGTTTGGATGTGCTTCTAGAGTGATTTATGGTGGAAAGCAGGAGTGGCATCCACTTCCTAAAACTAAATGTCTCTGGAAACTCTACAAATGCTCTAAACTCTTTAAATGTACTGAAATGATAGTAGTTATAGAACAGAGTTCTGTACAGAAATTATGTTAGTCATAGAACAGAGTTTAGATCTTTTGTGCAAAACTTACTCTCAGTCATATTCACCGTGATAAAACTTCACCACTGCTAAGTAAAACTAGTGCTGTTTTTTTGTCTTGTTTTGTCTTGTTTTTTCTTCCACTTTGTATGTCACTCTTTGTCAATGTGAAGTATGAAGTAACCTGGGTTTCTGTGATGTCATTGGGGTATCAAATACCAGAATTGCTTCCCAATATGGACAATGTTTGGTGGAGCTACCAGATGTAAAGGAGGTTTGGAAGCAGGAGTGGCATTCACTTCCTAAATCACATGCCTCTGGAAACTCTATGAACTCTATGGACTTGGTGAAATGATGACAGTTACGGAAAGAAAGACATTAGGTCTTTTGTTCATAGAGTTGCTATGAGTCATGCTCAACTCAATGGCAATCAATAACAACATGTATGTGTGTGTGTACATATATATGTGTGTGTATATCTATATCTAT